CATTGTTGGTCGCATGAAGTATGGGACCTTTCTGCTCTTTATCTTTTTGTGGACGTCTCTGGTGTACGACCCGTTAGCCTACTGGATGTGGTCCCTGAAACTTGATGATTCTTGGGCAATCACAAACATGGGTTGGGAGGGAAAAATGGGATCGATCGATTTTGCTGGTGGTACTGTTATCCATATTTCTAGCGGTTTTGGTGCTCTCGCTGCTGCTCTGATGGTTGGGAAAAGATACAATCACAACGAAGCTATAAAACCACACAATGTACCTCTTGTAATGATCGGAGTTACGCTACTTTGGTTTGGCTGGTTTGGTTTTAATGCTGGCTCACAGGGTGCAGCGGATGGAATTGCTGCAACGGCTGCTATTAATACGCACTTGGCTTCGAGTGCAGGGTTCCTGACATGGGTTGGCCTCGAATTTTCTTGGTATAAAAAGATCGATCCATGTGGGGTTGCTACCGGAGCAGTAGCTGGCTTGGTAGCGATAACACCAGCCTGTGGTTATGTGTACCCTTGGGCAGCGGTAATTTTTGGCATTGTAGGTGCAATTACGGGTTTCGCAGCTATTCAGATGAAAAAGTATTTGCGCTATGATGATACCCTTGATTCTTTCGCTATTCACGGCTGCGTTGGCGTTATTGGTGGTTTAATGACGGGACTATTTGCCACATCGGACGTAAACCCAAACATCGATAACGGTGCTTTTTACGAGAACGGCGAGCTTTTTCTCCATCAATTGGTTTCCCAATGCTTTGCTGCAGCGTACTCATTTGCAGTGACACTGATTATCCTTCTCGTTCTTAAGCTCACAATTGGTTTACGCGTAGATGAGGACAAGGAAGTAAACGGTATTGACATCAGCTACCATGGTGGTCTCGCGTATGATTATAGGGTACACGAGAACACGTCAAAGGCGGAGACACGCGAGTTAAGCAGCGACTTTATGCAGTGATAGGTTCTTCGTCAGCTCTTAAGGTTCCATCTTTTTTTCTATTTTCATTTTAATTGCATTCAAAGCAAAAGCTTTGCTAAGTAGCACAATATATTGCAAAAGCTCATAGTTTTACTCTCCCATGCGTTATGTTCGCTCTGTAACCTTTAAAGCAAATAAGGTACATACCCTTACTATTCATACCAGCATTTGGTGGTGACACATCGTTTTTTAAGTATGATCATGTGGTGGTGTTAAGTTTTCTTCGTCTGGGTAGGCTAAAATGGAAAGTGACACTGAAGTATCGGCGTTACGGGCAACCAACTATTTCAAACATTAAATATATACCAGCAAATACGATGTCATTCAAGAGGTTGTTGCTTTCAACTACCACAATAGTCAATGATCCAGGGTTGTCTTGAATGATTCCAGACATTATAAGGCAGTGTGCCCCCAAGAAGGTTGCAGATGATGCTAAATTTGCGTTTTCGTAGTCGTTTGGAAAAGTAAAGAAATTGGTTTGAATGAATCAGGAAAAGCGGCTACATGGATTGTTACTGCCAAGCAAATAGTCCATAATCCGAAACTTCGTGGATTTATAAGGGATTTGAAGCGGAATGTGACTCCAGTATTGATCCAGACGACTATCAGAGCTCATGGGATATCCGCTGAGTATATGAATGGTTTAAATGCTTTAAAGAGCTCAAGAACGAGAGACGTATTTTGGTAATGACATACCGCAATATGAACTTGTGCCATCATACGCGGCTCAGCTATTTTTCGCGAAATCACAGGGTATTTTACGATATTGAGAATGGCGCTTTGAAGGAATTGTGCTTTGTATACCGTGAAGGTTTGGCGTCATATCCACAATTTTCCGCACGAAGAGTCGCTATGGATAGAACGTATTTGGAGACAGTGGTCGGTGGAATTTTACAAATTGCTTCTTCCCGCAATGGAAACAAAAAGATCAAAATTATTGCTATCGGATTGTTTCAGTGGACAATGAAGAAATTGGACTTGGGTTGTATAACCTTCTATCAAATCATTATCGTTTGCCAGCATATTTTCGTGATAAAGCTTTGCTGCAAGCATTGAAGGTAGATAATCCACATATTCCTCATTTTATTGTTTTCGACATTTAACTAAAAATACAAGTCAAGAGAACTCAAAAATGTGGTATGGGCACATACGGTCAGTGAATTTGCCAAGTAATCGATCGAGTTGACAAGTATGAACAGTGGCGCGTTTCAGTGGTTTTGTGATATTGGACATGGAAAATGGTCAACTGAGATAGTCGACAACCAAGGTTCAATATCCTGACGTCAGAAAATACCGAATCTACAACAGTATTCTCAGATGCATCCGAGCTCTACCAATTATTGATATCCTTCATGGCAATTGAACACCATGTAGGTGGAGAATACAAATATAGTACTCAACTGGGTTCTATGCATCGGTTAAGGTGAACAAATTAATAATCAAGAATAGAAGATGCAGAAGTGATTACAAACTGATCCCCAAGTTATGTTGTCTCAGTCGCAATGGGGATGAATAAAGTCGTTGTGCGCTTTACAGTAAAGTTTACTAAGACTGATCTCACTTGTTGGTATCGAGTTCCAATAGACATCGTTACTCCATGTGCTCATGCACTCATCGCATTGAAACATGCTAATAAAATAAATGCTGCTGGAAGATGTTATCACCCTCCATCGAGACATCAACATTTGCAGCCGCATACAGCAAACATTCAAATGAAACTATTCCTCTAATTACAATCAAAGACTTTTTGTCAGCATGTTATTGCGAGCCATATCAATTTGAAGAAGCGTGGAAATCTAGAAAGAATCGTATTCCGCCACAACAGGCAACTGCTCAGCTAAAAAAAACAGGTGCTAGATGCAGTGTTTCCCAAAAATATGGGTCATTACAGCAAAATTTGTGATGATGCGTAATCTTTATGGCTGTCTGACAAACTAGTTTCATGTCAGAGAACATTTTCTAGCTTAGCATGAGTCACCTCCACAAGATATAACGATGTTTTCAGTCACTTGATGTATTCTTACACTCGTGTTGTTTGCATACATGTCTATTGTATAGACATGACTATACTTGAAGTTGTATACAATTGATACATTATTTTCAAATATCTATTATATGTTTAATTTTTTTGTTTATCCGGTGGTTATTTATTTTCCCTAAACAAATAAATCTCAATCACTTATTTTATAATGAATATATGAGAAGAGAAGCGACTTCGTCGTCTACGCTCTCATTTTCAGCTTTAATTCATTTTTTGATGAATACTTCAACAATTATATTCGCTCGTCGACTTGATACATAGAGATTGATTTGATCGCCGCCGTTAGCTTCGAAAACGACGTCTCTATCGTATCTTTCTTGGTTTGCTTGTTGTTACTCTCGTCATCGTGATTGCAGATCATCTTCGCCACCCACCATATTTACATCCACCATTTTTCACTCATGTACCGAAGTTGCCGGAGTAAGAGTATTCATATCCGTCGCAGCCAAGATAGCAGTATCAAAACTGAGATAGTCATGACCATCCTTCTCTATCTGTATAACGACCGATCCTGTGGTGCAGTGGTACGCCGCTCACTTCAAGACCGAGAGTTCCAGGGTTCAATCCCCGGACCGGGTAGAGAGAGGTTAGAGTGTAATGAATAAAACCCTACAGCAAGTGCTTGACATGGCTTTCACGACTCCTTAAAAGGGAAGTCGTTTCCCATCATATCTATCTGTATAACGGTACCGATCCT